TTGATGGTTTATTAACGTCCTCAACAGACCCGGCGTCATGGGCGGGCCCCATGGGGCCGGGCCCGCCCATCCAGGATTTGGGCCCGCCCATTCAGGATTTGGGCTCGCTGTTTTAATCAGGGCTGAATACAACATTTGAACTGTTTCATTATTATGTTCAGTGGCGGCGCTACAGCCATACCAAGAAATGGCTTAGCCCCACCATGAAAAATGATTTTAAAGTAAGCTAAATAAAGTCCGCCAACTCGCGCGGAGTAAATTGCACAGACAGCAGTAAATACCGAAGACTATAAACGGTTTGAAATGTTTTGTCACGTAGTGATCATCTTCTCAATAGAACATCTTTGATAATGTCTTCTGGCCAATCAGAATCACCATAACGACGTTGTGTTGTTGCAGGAAGTCCCGACGGAGAATACTTTTGCTGTAGTACATCTCTATATACATCGATACAACATTACGTGTTGATAGAAATCAACACATAATGAAATGAGACTCCACGGTTTGATGATTGATAGGTGTGTGGGCTGTCTTTCATTTTGACACACAGAACACTGGGGGCTATCCACCCTTATCCACAATGTAAAGTAATTCACAGCCTCTTCCCTCTTCTCTCTGTGAGGAGCAGCAGGTTCAGCTTTCAGAACAAAGTAACACAAAACTAAAATGGCATTCATTTTTTTTAAATATGTCGCGTAGTAATAGATTTATTTATTTTTATTCTCAAGAGAGTACCAGAATGTGTATTTTATGTTAGTATTTCAAAAAATCTCCTGGGGGAGAATCCCCCCAGACCCCCCTACAGAGGTTGGGTTTTCAGCATGTCAACTCTTTCACCTGTGGGGAAGTTGCAGGATTGGCTCCAGGTCGCCCTTTTTATTTACTACAAGACAAATGTGCCTTTTTATTTCATACAGTTCAATTTGGATTGAGACAGGGAAATAATCTAAACCTCACGCGTGGCGTTTCACTGTCAAGGGGAGCGTGTATGTAATTACATTGCAAATACTGACTTGAGCCCCACCACTGTATGGGTTAGCCCTACCATAGATTACCCAACAAAAACACTCTGGAGCCGCCACTGATTATTTTTATTGTTGTTATATTTGTAGGGCTTTGTCCTAATATTTATTTTTGTTTTAAACTATGTTGAAAGATTAGTTTAATATCATTTTTTTTATTTTGCTATGATATTCTGAATGAAAGGCTGCGCGCGCGACTGGTTTTTCGCTGGGTTGAGTCGTGTGGGTTTTTGAGTGAGATGCGGCACAGCAGCCTGTCACTTCACTCTTGCTAGGTTAGTTTGGCTATTATCATTTATATGTATCTGCAACAATGGATATCAGAAAGTGGTTCATGAAAGGAATATGGCAACTCAGCGCCAGATGCAGGCACATTAGAAGACATCAGCTACGTTACCAACGAGTTAGCAAGCCAGCCAGGGACAAGGGAGGCTGGCAATCAATTATATTTTGAAGAGAAATTGACTCTCAAGCCGGCTCTCTCACAAACTCCTGCTCTGTGCGCAAGCAGACCGCTGCACACGCTTTCTGCCTCGCTTAATATCTCTCTCTCTCCCTTTCTCTCCATCGCTCAACCTTACTCCACCTCTCCACCCTGTGTGCTTGCCCAAGTTGGCACAGCGTTACAAATGTGCCACAAAAACAACCAATGGATGTAGCCTATAATAAGACTGTCAACAGCCTTGGCAACCTAAACCACCCCCCCCCCTTGACAAATCTCGAGATTTCCCGGGAAACGTACGTTTCGGGGTGGGCCCGCCCTGGTAAATCAAATGCCCGCCCAGAGACGTATGTCTGCCGCCGGGTCTGGTCCTCAATATCCTTTCAAGATTTCAGTTTCCAATCACAAGGGCTCCTTTGAAAGGGAAAGGTTTGAAAATGTACTGCCTGTCTTTCTCTTTTCTTTCATTATGTTCATTTTTTATTCTCCCCTTACCTCGGCTGACTTACCATTAATTCATATTACTATGCATACATTATCAAACTTCGCTCAATTATTTATAGCCTAGTCAATTTTGGCTTTTACGGGAAAGGGCCATCTGTTTTATTTACACATGGATAGGACCTACTCTGTTATGATGTGATGGTTACAGACAGCTTATAATGTGGGTGTGGGTGATTCTGATGCATCAGTGATGGTGTGCGATAATGGGAGGGGGAGGATGTGACTTTGCACTCTGACAGGCCTGTTCATCCTTATCTACTTCCTATCAGATCTGCCTTGACTTCCTGTACGCATCTTAAAAAAGAACAACTAAACTCAAAACCCATGAGATTATGATGGTTAAGATAAACAGAACATACAGACTTCTGCATACTGCTGCTGCTGCACATAGGAACAATGTCTAAACTACAACAATACATGTCACTTCTAGATAAAATACAGTTAAACAATCAGCGTCAGTTTTGAAACATTTTAATTTTGTCTCCAAACTATTCAGACGTTTGGAGCCTGGTCTGTTGTTGTACTTTCTTCCAGCTGCCACTAGGTGTGATTAAAGAGCCATATTTTGCCAATTGCATTTTAAAACTTAAGTAACTTGCTGGATTTAAATGTTAAAGTGCTTCAGTGCGCTACAAAGGTTTGTCGTCCAGTCTCAACAGTTACAATCTGGTGACACACTACAGCAACTGAGCAGCGCTTCAGCTTCCAAACTGTTTAGGGAGAGTGAACAGCGTTATTGAAATGCTGTGCTCAGTACTGTTGTCTTTCCCTCTGCCTGTTCACTCTTTTGTCAAAGAGCTTGCTCAGCTATTTTCTGAGTGCCCTCCTTCAGACGATCCAGTCTGACCTATTTACAGGCTAGAAGGAACAGTGTAGCAGTGGTTCTCAAACTTTTGTACCCCCTTTGAAAAAGAAATTCAGCCAAGTACCCCCTGATCGGCGCAAAAACAATTTGTTAGGGTAGAAATGCCTATATAAAGAGGTACAGTACAGTGCTTCACCATCAGTGTCTGATTTATTAAAACAACAACCTTGTAACTGAGAAACACTTAAATGCTACATTTAAAATGTTTACAACAATCCATCCATCTTCTCCCGCTTATCCGTGGTCGGGTCGCGGGGGTAGCAGTTCCAGCAGAGAGCCCCAAACTTTCTTTTCCCTGGCGACATCAACCAGCTCTGACTGGGGGATCCCAAGGCGCTCCCAGGCCAGCGAAGAGATATAATCCCTCCACCTGGTCCTAGGTCTACCCCTTGGTCTCTTCCCAGCTGGACGTGCCTGGAACGCCTCCCTAGGGAGGCGCCCAGGTGGCATCCTAACTAGGTGCCCGAACCACCTCAACTGGCTCCTTTTGACGCGAAGGAGGAGCGGCTCAACTCCGAGTCCCTCCCGGATGACCGAACTTCTCACCTTATCCCTAAGGGAGACACCAGCCACCCTGCGGAGAAAACCCATCTCGGCCGCTTGTATCCGCGTTTACAACAATCCATCACTAAATTCATGGAAAACCAATTTCAAAATCATGCAATAACACAAAGACGACATTAGCTGCATTGAACTTATCTTTTTAATAAGTTGTACTTACAATGTAGTGAGAAACATGGGCTTGTGCTTCACTGAGGAGCTTTGTCATTCTGACAGGGAGGCAAACTGCAGTTATTACACTTCGCGTTTTGAAATATGTATAACTCTGTTCATAATATAAAATCCACACTGCTCAAACTTTGTTACTTTTCCTAAAATTGGTATATTTATTTATTTAGGGGTGTGGGGAATGAAGAGAAAAAAATATGAGCATTTTATGAGCATGGGATTTTGACCACTCATATAAATGCATGTGCTATACTTTGCGGCCACACGCTGTAAGCAACGCTTATTGTTGAGGTCCTTTGATAAGCAGGCAGTCATATAATTAACTTGAACTAGCTAGATCTGATAGATTTGGACAAACGCGAGTGAAGTATAACCGGACGCGAGAGAGAGATCAGATCATAACAGAGAACACGCAGGTCTTCCGGATCACAGCTCCGCCGCTGTGACGGACCGTTGAGCGGAGGAAAATACACTAAGAGTTAGACCTACTGTAACACACTTAGCTAGTTTATCTACTCTGGGACTAGCTATACTAGTTATAAATATATGTATTCTTTACTGTCGGGTCACTTATTACAGGTTCAGCGAGCTGCATGAGACTGACTGGAAAAGAGAGCACCCCGTTTATTTTTCCCATTTTATTATCCAGAATTACTGTAAACTTTTGAATAAAGTAGTTAATCTACTATTAATAGTTTGTTTTAAATGCTTTACTTGTGTTTTTTTCCTTCTCATTAGCATAAAATAAATCTCACGTACCCCCTGCAGTACTCCAACGTACCCCCATTTGAGAACCACTGGTGTAGGGCATCAAGGGCCACATGCTCTTTTTTTCTGTCTGCATGCTCACACGTTCCAGCTTTGTTTGACATTTCAGATGTAGCAATACACTTTTTATAACTGTAACAACCCTCTTACTGTTTGTTACTGTAAGCTGTGCTCATCAACATTTTCTCTGTCCTGCAATCTAGATACATGGCTTTCTTTTAAATAGATTTTGGGCATGTGTATATTTCCATATTATATATTTTCACAAGTCCAGCAAGCATTAATACAGATTGATAAAGGTCATCAGCTGTTTACATGAAGGCTTAACCTCGACATTTCGGTACCACTTTACAATAAGACTACCCTTATAAAGGATTTATAAAGGGTTTATAATTAGGTTATGAATTAGGCTGTAAACACTTTATTAATCATTAAGAACCATTTATAAACCAGTTATATACATCAACACAAGCTCACTATTTGGCAAGATGACTAAGCCTTATATTGGCTACTTAGCTAGAATCAACTCAGTGAACAACAGATACCAAGGATGCTGGCTGATGAAGAAGATGAAGTAAGCTAGGTAGCCAATATAAGGCTTAGCAGTACAGATAAATGTGGGCTCACTATTTGGCAAGCAACCGGTCACAGTTATCCTGTTTATCTCATGTCTTATAAAAGCTTATTAATGACTTGTAAAGTGTTCACAACCTAATTAATAAATGAATTACAAACTATTCGTAAACCCTTTTATAAGGGTAGTCTTATTGTAAAGTGGTACCAACATTTCTATCTATACATACTCAAATGTATTTATTCTACTAAAATCATACAAAAACAAAAACGTATAATTCATACACACAAATGAACAAAATTAGTAGAAGCGGGAGGGCTGAAGCATAGCTTATGGGGGGGGAGTAGCCCTCCCGTGCATCATCATTAGCATCAATATAATAATGGCATTTATTTCGTCAAAAATGTATAGAAATTAAGGAGTATAAAGAAAACTAATGAAAACTGGAAAAAAATAAAAGTTAGGGCAAGAAAAAAGTAAATGCATATATAAGTAATACTGGGAATATCCAATACTTGTTAGCTGGAGTAATCTGCAAATATAATTGTTTTTACTTTAGTTTTGAATTGTTGATGACTAGTAATACTTGAAAGGTCTGGGTGAAGTCTATTGGATACTGGCAGGTTGTTTTGCTCAAGTGAGCTATTACATATCCTGCGGTTGGTAGTTGTTGTGAAAACAAAATGTGTTTCACATGATATAAACGTGACATTTCTGATGTCTAATGGGGATCTATCAAGGGATAAACAGGACTTATCTAGGGATCTAATAGGGTTGCAACTGACTTTGATCTGCTGATTGTTCATTTGATAATAAATTAATAATTTCGTCTATGAAAAGTCTGATCATTGTTAATTATTACCCATCACAAAGGCCCTCGTGACTAATTAAATTACGCTCCTACAAAACCCTAAAAAGTGTGATTGACAAAATGACAATCGATTCAACGATTTATTGTCTCGGGTTGTGTTGAATAAGGTTTATTTTAGTTTTTTTACTTTTACATTTTTTAAATCTGGAGAGTGGAAAACCCATTTTGTTTTAAGGATAAACCTATATTTGTACACGAGGGCTGCACCTGCTGACCCACAGCTGTCTCATCTGAATCTTCTCCTCCCCTCCCCAGGTGTTGGCGACAGGCCTCAGCGCTCTCTACTCCTCTCTGCCCAGGAAGATTGAGGTTCGAGGAGACGACTGGCACGCCCTGCGGCGGGAGGACTGGATGGGCGTCTCGTCTATCGTGCTGTTCATGAACTCGCTGGAGTTCTGTAACGCCGTGGTGCAGGTGGCTCACCCCCTGGTCCGCTCCCAGCTGCTGGACTACCTCCACAACGGCTTCCTCGTGCCCGTCATGGGCCCCGCGCTGCATAAGGTAGGAAGTGGATAGATGGAAGAAAAAAGTTACTCTGGATCACAAATATCTTTAAGTACTGTTCATAATTGTGACTCTGTGAATCCAACGCAACTATTTGTAAAATAACGTTTTTAGAGATATTTATAAACCGACCCTTAAAGTAAACAGGATATGGTGGACCTCACAAATGGAAATTGACAACTTGTTTTTGGCTGCTGGAGTGACTTTAAGACATTATTTATTGTGTATGAATAGTTTTTCTGGAATTTTTTTCAAAGGGATGAGTCAGAGTGTGAGTCAAAGCAAAACATTTATAAAAATAATTTGAGAAATTGCCTCATTGCTTGTTTCTAATCGTAGCCCTCCCATTCATATGAAAGTTTTTGCACTGCCGTCTTTTGCAGTTTTTAAACAAATGTACTTTATTGTGTGTGTTTGTAGTCGTCGGTGGACGAGATGATCGCCAGCACCGCCTACCTGGACCTTTTCCTGCGCAGCGTGTCCGAGACGTCCCTCCTCAAAACCTTCCTGCGCTTCATCCTGCTGCATTGCCACGACAACGACACCATCCTGGACACACTGCTCACACGCATCAGCAGCAACTCAAGGGTATAAAATAGATATACAGTATATGTGTGTTTTCTGTGATGGAGCCTCAAGGCCCTTATATGAACTCGTTGTGTGGGTGAAGCGTGGGCTGAGAATAAGAATTGATTGAAAGTGTCTCCCGCAGAATACAGAAGTATCTGGTTTCTCAGAAAAAAAGATGAAGAGTTAAAGTCTTCTGCATCTACTGCCTAGTGTAGTGTAAATAGTTTTTAGTTGGTGAAACAACCCACAGTGAAATGTGAGTTCATAATCAGTTTCAAACACTCTTGAATAACCACTTTTGTTGTAGAAAATAAAAAAACAAAGATTTCAGTTAAAAAGGAAATCATTGGCTTTGTTAACCTTTGTAGTATTGGCCAGTATAATGGTGCCACTGAACACAGGATTCCCACATATCCTGAAAAACTGTTGAAAAAACTTTCGTTACGATTATGATTTGTTTTTATAATTACCAATCTGTTTTGACCATATCATGTTAATTGCTATTTATGATTTCTCAAGATAATAACATTTTGTCTAACTGCTTCCTGTATCTGCAGCTCTGTATGGTATCGCTGAGCCTCTTCAGGACTCTTCTGTCTCTGAACTGTGAGGACGTCATGCTGCAGCTCATTCTCAGGTATGTCTGAGTCAACGTGATCACTTTGCAAATATGTTAAATATTTTGTGTTCCTCTGTCCCTAAACATGTTCAAATAGGGAATGTATTGCCCACATTAAATTGACATAAGATAGAATAGCCAACATTGCTAATGACTGAATTTATTATAATTTTTATAAATATTTGTCTGGTTTGCTCCCAGGTATCTACTGCCCTGTACCCATGTAATGTTGAGTCAGCGTCGTGCTATCAGGGAGACTGACCTGTACGGAAAGTCAGCAGACAAGTTCCTGTCGCTGATCCCAGAGTGCTGCCGGCTGAACCCAGCGACCTCTGCTGAGCGGGACGAGGACAATGCATTATGGGCAAAAGGTGAGCAACAAACACCTGTGTGGAAACAACAGATTCAATTAAGTAACTCAAGAGCACAAAATATCAATTAAGTGCTCACCTGCTGGCAAATGTCTACACATTAATGTAATATGAAGTCAAGACAAACTTAGTGTGATGTGTTTTTTGTATCCCTTATGTGATCACTTTTTCTCTGTACTTTAATCCGACAGCAGTAAGCAGTCCCAGCTCAGAGTCTCCAGTCCCACCCAGACCCAGCACCCCGTCCCGCTTAGCCTTCTTCATCCGCCAACAGAGCAGCGGAGGTGGATCAGGAGGAGGGGGTTCCTCTACCCCCACCAGCATGGAGCCTCCTCAGTCGGGTCCTTCCAGCTCACGCCCCCTGTCCCCTGAAAGCCCGATGCACCAGCAGCAGACTAACACAGAATGCCTGGACTGGGATTCGGGTTACCTGGATTACCTCAAAGACTCGCGGCGAGGCATCGAGTTTTGCTCCTGGGCCTGCCGTGACTGGTCGGCGCCTTATGATGGAGAAAACCCCTCCCCAAACACAGCCCCTCCACCCCCACCCCCACCTCCCCCTACCGCCAACCCTTCCATGGCTATGTACCCGGAGCACTTCTCTCTCCAGCAGGGAGGGAGCAGTAACACCCCTCCAGGCCAGCAGAGGGCGGCCATTGTGGCAGCAGCTCGATCCGAGTGGAGCAGCTCAGAGCGGGACAGCGGCGAGTGGGACGTTACCATCGGCAAAAACAACTGCATCAGCCTCACTCCACGCTCCAAGAAACGCAGCCTGCAGAGAGAGGAGCTCCTGCCCAAGCCTATACCTCAACTCGTCCCCTCCTCCTCGTCTTCAGCCCCCCCTTTATTGACTTCCCACCCCGCCTCGTCCCCAGCGCCTCACAATCCCACCTCCACCGTCACTGTTAGCTACCAGGCCATGTATAATGGAACATCTGGCCAGGGTGACGGGTGCTCAGACAATCGAGACAGAGGACTGGAGGTAAAGAAAGTGAAGAGGGACTTAGGGGAGCCGCAGTATTTGGATGAAAACGCAAATCAAAATGGATCCCTTGTCTCCTGCTCCCCCCAAATCTGCACTGCTCTGCCACAGACTACTTTTAGTAACAGTGAAATGAGTGATGCAAAATCGCTTTGTCCTAACCAGATTTCCTCTCCAAGCCCCGTCACCCAGCAAACGTCTGACACCAAACTGCTGACGGGCGACACCTCAAACCCACACAATGCATCCTCAGATCTTGTAGAAAGCAACCAGACTCAACAGTCTGTAGAAAGTCTCATCAAGGAGCTGCTGGAGCAGGCACCGGGGGAACCGCAGCTCCCGGGAGACTCCAACGGGCAGGGCATCAGCATCGAGGCGTTCACACAGGAGCTGAGGGAGCTGGAGGACAGGGTGAAGGAGCGCAGCAGAGCAGCCGTCCTGCAGGAGGACACTCCCGGAGACTCTGTGTCTTCTGAGCGGCCGGAGGAGGAACCGTCCTCAGGCCTGGAGGTGAAGCTGAAGGTTGATCCAAAAGTAGAGGGGCCTGTGGTGGGCCTGTGCAGCCCTGCTAGACCCCTACATCAACCCGCCTCTCAGCCATACACGGGTCAGACTCACATTCTTGAGCATTTATTTATTTATTGTTGTGTGTCCCTGTTTTATCCACATGCAGCTGGGCTTAAATTAATTGTTGTCATTGTTTCTCTGTCCAGGTCCGTTCATGGTGGTTCTGTTTGCCAAGCTGGAGAACATGCTCCAAAACTCGCTGTACGTCAACATCCTGCTGACTGGCATCGTGGCCCAGCTGGCCTGCTATCCTCAGCCGCTCCTACGCTCCTTCCTGCTCAACACCAACATGGTCTTCCAGCCCAGCGTCAAGTCACTGATCCAGGTACACAAACTGGAGGAAGTTCTGTAGAGGTTTCTCAATACTCAAATTTCCCCTCCTCGACTCCTATCCTCGAGACTTGGTCCCGCCCACAGGAGATGCGAGCGGAGGAGCCGAGGAGGGGAACCGAGGAGGGGAAGCAGCAGGCGGTTAGAGAAATGAGAACTCCTCTCCTCTGAGCGGTCATTTTAAAGAGACGTCCATTAATGATGACAGGAGGCACAGCAGCCCTCTGTCTGATGTGTTCATGACCACTTATATATTTACTTTGAATTCATTGAGAGTGCGGTATAATGAGACAATAACAGGCTACAGATGCGGACACACACACACACCCATATATTTATATAAATATATACAATTTCAGACTCAAACAAGTATGAGAGCACTCTCATAATAACGTAACACAATCAGAGACTGGATATTAGTGCTGGGGGGAAACGATTATTTTGAAAACGATTAATCGGGCGATTATTTGATCGATTAGTCGACTAATCGAACGATTATTTTTCTGTTGTTCAATTCATAAAAAACGTAATGTAAAAAAAACGTAATGTAAAAATTTTTTTTTTCACGATACTGTGTCTCAGGGGATCTTAATATTTAAGAACATATTAATGTGTTATACCAGATTAACGGAAATAATCTCAGCTAACTGACGATACAAACCATGTTTACCAAAACAAAACACAAGTCTCATAAGAAGCATCTAAATGACCCCTGAGCGAAAAATGCTAACGGACATTGGCACAGATCTCAAGATAAAAGTACCCTTATTACTTATCGTAGCTGCACATACAAGATATCCGATTAAAGCTGAGACTCCACAGATTATGTAGGTATATAGTATCATCACTGAGTGATCCGGACTCGCGACAGGGGAAGCAAATACAGTCATCACAACACGTACCTTCACAGAGCTTCTAGGGAGATCGTCTCACCGCCGTAGCTGTCAATCTGATCAAAATACGTGTTCAATGGCATTCAAATGAGAAAAAACGCGGCTGAATCGGTTAATCCATAGGTTTTTAACGTCTATGTATAAAAAAATGATTAAATTTATAATCCATAATTCCATTTTAAATCGGAGAGCAAATGCTAGCTGCTGCTTCCGGTCAAGCAGCAGTCTCAGTGAGATATAAATATATAAATATCTTTGCGTTTTGGACTAACTTTAAAATATTCCCATGCTTTTGAAGACCTGGGGCGAGATGTTTTCGTTTGAGGGCTTCGTGCGCAATCCTGTGAGGAGGAGGTGGTAGCCGTTTCAGTCTCCATTGTGTTAGAAGTGCGATTGCGAACTGCTTGTTGCTTTGGGTGACCCACGTGTGTGTGGCGTCATAGTGTGTGTGGCGTCATACAGGCTATGGTGGCGACGCGTCGACGCGGAAATATGTCGTCGACGATATTTTGAAGTCAGCACTACTGGATATATCCTCCCCTCTCTCTGGTCGCTGAAATGGGGAATTGAAATGACGGGCCAAAAGTTGTATTTACAAGTAGCCTATTAAAAGTAAGCATAGGACACCAAACCAACTGAGACCCGTCTGTCCGCCACATCTACACACTGTACAACACACACACCTAGCTCCTAAAGCATAATCAGGCTACAGCCGTTGTGTATTTTATTATGTGAAGCACTAAATGGTCTTAGAAAAATATCGACTCTTTGTTTGTAGATATCTACTAAACTACAGCACACAAATACAGAGAGTAATGTAGGCCTGTTATACTGAGTGATATATATTTTACACACTGCTCTGCTTTCTGCACAGACCTCACAGCTGTTCTCACTGTAAACATTGCGTCACGATGAAAGCAGTTTCTAAAATAATATCCAGGGGATGCATGCAGAGCTGTCATTGGCTGAGATAATTGCGGCCGTGCGTAACGCCTCCACCGTTCCCGGAAATTCATCCGTGGAGGACCCATCAGTAGGCTTGTTTGAGACGCGTTGCGGATCGCCTCGAAAGTAGACGAGAATAGCCGATCGCAGCCAGGGGAGGTCTCAAAAAGCTCGCCTGAAGTCAGACAGCTCGGAGTCGGCTTCTTCTTCTTCTTCTTCGCCTTCTTCTTCTTCTTCTTCTCTCTGTTTTTTGGCGGATTGCAAACAACTTTAAGGTGCATACCGCCACCTCCGGAGTCGGCTTGACTCGGTTTGCATTTATAAAGAATGCACACATGTGTTTAATCGTTAATGTCAGATATGTACTAAGTAAATAGCCTACATTTGTTCCTGCTCAAGATCAGATTCAACTTTATTGTTATTGCACATATTACAGGTACTGAGACAACGAAATGCAGTTTAGCTTCTAACCAGGTGCAACAAGCAGTGAAGTGAAAAGTAATGTACACAATCTACAGAATAAAATATAGAATGAATTGAATGATGAATAAACAGTGAGGGGTATGAATACACTAGATATACACAGCAGCCTGTGAGCAGTATGAACAGTGTGTATGAATATGCTAAGATATATAAAGTATGAAACGGTAAGCAGTGCAAGTATAGTATAAAATATATGGATATTAATTTCATGATGATAAACATTGTGGAACAATGATGAAAAATGGGAATGGATGTGACGACGTAAAACTGACACAAAACAACAACAAACTTTTGCCGAGCCAATTGGAGAGTTTCATCACCAGCACGTGGTAAAAACCACCAATGAGCGCTCAGCTCGAGATACCAGCGAGTCGTTTCCCATCAAGCATTTCGCTTCCACAGCCCGTGGAGAGCAACTGCGCCGCCTCGCCGCGCCTCGCTCTCAAGGCTGCGGGCGTCTTTGTCCCGCGAGATTTCTACGTCTCATGTAGGCGAGCCTCCAGAGCAAGTCGGACAAAATGACTAACCATCATGCAACGTCTCAAACAAGCCTAGGTTGCATTCCAATAGTCCATTTAGCTTAGGAACCTTCCTAACGGAGTGAAATGACCCGGAAGTACGTCCCTGGCAGCCATGATAAGTGCCGTTCCAATTCTCCAAATGAAAGGAAAGGAGGTTTCAAACTTCCTTTATAACCTCCTTTAGCTTAGGAACCACTGGACCTCCCTAACCGAAAGGACAGGAGAAAATGCTGCCCCACAATGCATTGCAGCCGCAGCATTTGCCATCACAACAGTCGGCTGTTCACGGAAACAACCGATTATGACCGAGAAATGATATCATGAAAGTTACGGTGCTTATTAAGCATTTTAAAACGTATGTGGTAAGTTGTCAAAGTGCTTTTTTCTGAACGTTCATCAGTATTATAATCAAAAAGAGAAATATGAACGTTAGTTTTTTTACTGAAATTATCAAATAAAGTCAACATCTCACAGTCTTTACTGAGCTGTGTGGGGTTTGTTCAACTTTTAAAATATGTTTGAATGGTGATATACACACTGATAGATGTTAAGGACTAACGTTTATAATAAATACATCTGTATTGATTTTAAGATCTTTTAATAGTTCATACAATCATACGTATTGGGATCATTTGTATTAATGTGGACCGGAGGGAGAGGGTGACGAGCATAAGTTTCACTTTCCTTTTTTATTTCAATTCCAACTTTGGTCATGAAGAATATGTTTCTCTGTTGTCCACGTTCACAAAGCATAAAGCAACAGCATCAGAGCACGGTGCAGAGTCTCTAGATGAGTTTACAGTAGTCCCTCGTTCTTATTAAACATCCATGTTGTAGTCCGCTGTATAGAAAACTGTAGTTTCCATAGTTTCCCCACAGCAGCAGACGCACATTCATGACGTCCGCTGGCGCATCATAAACACGTCGGATAGTGAAAGTGCATTCGGATTCTCTAAAGTACCGCAGTCTCTTCTCCTAAGTCCTTTTGAATTCTCCTATCCACTATCCCTTAACCCCGTGACATTTCACTCAGAGGTCAAGGAATAGGAGATAGGGTTAGAATTTAGGAGCTGATTTTTGGATTATCGAAACGCAACCCTAGTGTCTCCTCGGTTAGAGCTCCTCCAGAGAGCCTCGGCTGCTTCTCAGGTCGATTAAATGAAATCCTTGCTTCCCTCACTTGCGTCGTTTCCCTGTGTTTAGTCCCTCCCACCAGGGAAGCATGGAGAGACGCAAGGAAACCACGAGAAGCAGGGGAATGAGTTTTAAGAGCAATGGGACGTCCTTTCCTCCGGAGCGTCACGTGAAGTGACGTCCGTTTGTGATGACGCTGCACAGCTGTTCGTCTGACAGCAGCCAGCTCTGTCCCCGTTATTTCCACACACACCCCCGCCTCTGTTAGTACACATTTACTGACATAAACATTAGTATCATCTGTTGTAGATCCAAATACATGAAATAAAATAAGAAGTCATTCTCAAAAAAGATAAACGCCATTCTTAAAATGTATTTAAACGAACAATAGTTTGATTAATATTGATTGAGTGCACAATAGGAATACAATTATTCAGAGAACAAAAACAGATATGTTATCTATCAAAATCCAGTTAGATTAACATTCATTGGACTGCACACTTTGTTTGTTTGTGTGGATATGTAGCAAATTAATATTTTAAATAGTACTTAATGAATGACTGAATGGAAATGACAATAAATGAAAATGTAAAACGAAAAAAGCGATCATGAAAATGTTTCCAATAAATGAATAAAATGATTTTTGACCACTTTGTTGTTCAGATATATCTCATATTTGTAACTAAATGATACATGAATTGAAACAAAACACGGTATAAACTGAGGAGTGAGTCCCGTGAGGTTCATGTATTTTCTTCACTCCGCTGGGGTATTGCTCTCATGTCAAGAAGCATCAGATCAGTGCATGCACTGCCTCGTCCAATCAGTGAGCGATACACAGTAAGGGGGCGGGGTGAGTATCTGAGGATTTCATCGGAGGATGGTCTGGTGGTTCCTCGGTTATCGCTCCTCCATGATCGCTCCTCGATCCTCGATCCTCGGTCCTCCGGCAGAAATAAGAGCCATGGGACGGTACTCAAGATGGCGCAGGCAAATCAACTTCCGGTGAGACCGAGGACCGAGGAGCGAGGAAATGAAAATAGTCGACCTGAGAAGCAGCCTCGAAGTGCATTTAGAGAAATGAGATGTCCTTCAAAATGCCGGAGGACCGAGGAGTCGAGGAGGGGAAATTTGAGTATTGAGAAACCTCTTGTATGTCTTGGAAGAAATTACAGTTGTTGGTCTTTTGTTGGAAGCATTGTTGTCTTCCAGGCCACCTCACTTCTGTGCTCGCTCGTTTTCCAAAAGCTTCGGGCCCACAAGCATTAGCATAGAGTTTATTTTGCATAATCCATTTCCGTCCATAATACATGATTCTGTAAATGGATGACTAATGCTGTAAGAAAGAGCATTTCAGTTTGGCTTCAGTCAAAAGTCGGAAGTAACATTTCCGGACCAAGTAATCAGCAAACACAAGTCAGCTGCCTTTTGAAGATCATGTCAAACTTGTTTCTCCTCCTCTAACTCACCTCAGGTTCTCGGTTCTGTGAAGAACCGTATCGAGGCGTTTGCAGCCTCTCATGAGGACTTCCCTGCGATGCTGAGGAAAGCCCAGCAGTACCTGGTGGCTCGAGGCAAAGTGGACTGGACTGACTCGCCTGCAGCGGTCCCAACCCTGCGGCGCTCTGATTCATTAGGTGAGCACGGGAACAGGAGAAACTGCATTTACATATAACGTGTGCTTCTGGTGTCTAATTGGGAAGACTAGGACAGAATGACTTGCCACTCATTTAATAAAAAAATACTAAATCAAAAATATACGTGTTCATAAGGATAGACATGTATAACATTTTATTAAGCCCCGACTTCATTTTTCCCTTTTGTAATATGGATTTCATGTGGCAACAATGTCTTAAATAGGAAAAATACTGGGAAAGTAGTCCTAATTGTCTAAGGCAGGGGTGGGGAAACTCCGGCCTGTATACGGACCGCGAGACCATTTGATACAGCCCTTGAGGTAATTTATAAACACGCAATTTATTTATTTTAAAGAAATCTAGACCGCAAAAAAATTAAACAAGTGAGTGCTTGTTTTTTCTGGCCAAGGTCAGGGTCCTTGAACACAACACCAGCCTAACGTGTCATCACGTGGTATATGTCTCGTCTGACAGGGGTGTAGCCAAGCCCCCAGGAAGTGCGCCGGACTCAGATGAAAATATTCGTGCTGGCCAAACGGCGGTACTACACTTCCGTTTGGTTGCCAGGCCCGGAAACACTTTTTCCCATTGACTTACATTGGGAAAGAGTGGTCTGTAACTCGTTGGATAATTTTTTTTAAACTAAATAAACTACCCAGTATGAACGTTTGTATAGCCCTTATTAAAAACATTCGTTCCTCAAGTTGTAAAAATTTGCTAATAACGTTATTCTGAGAGTTATTTCCCTAACACGCATCTAACCCACGGGACCGCGCCGCCCGGCACGTTCATGTTACGTGTCCCGACCAATCAGAGCACACTGTGCTCACAGGGAGGGTGGGGCTGGAGCTATTGGAGCTACAACGAGCCGTTAAAGGCAGAGAGTGAAATTCAGTGAATACACGTAGTTTACAGAGATGCTGTATGAGGAACCAATGTGAGTTGCGTTTATCTTTACCCATGGATGCACAATAAGAACGGATCCATATCGTCTTACTGCCATCCCACGGAGCTGTAATAATGGATATATTGCACATGTTTGCTGTAATTCATTATCATACTACATGGGCTGTATGATTAAATCTTGTACCGTAAATGTTGTATTAAATAAAGTTAATATTACCGACATTATTAACGTCCCTGTAGCTTCGTATTGCACTAAGAAGCTTATTGCACTGTATATAAATATATATATATAGGCTACAGTGCAATAATTATTTCATGCTAAATGAAGCTCTGTTGGATATCACTAGATCCTGTTACAGCGTAATATAAGTACATAACGATTGATGTGTACATTAGCATCATTACTAGCTAGCCGCTAGCTGATATCTGCCGCCTCGTTAATATCAAATCCATGATAACAACAATCCATTACCATGCTGTCATGAACGCGCGGTGCTGTTACTTGTACGCAAATTGACGTGCTTGATGTGAACGAGCATTTTGGTTAAAGTTGCGCATGCTCTATGAGTGCACATACGGGTACTTCTCAGGCATGCTGGGTAATCTGGGACGTTTCACTCTCTCAAAAGTTGAGCCATTTTATCATCATGCGCTAATGAGCAACTCTCATAGAAATGAATGAGGCCCCGTCTCCCACGCTGTATCCAGTTCTTATTATACATCCATGGGTGTAGCATGGATGTATAATAAGAACTGGATAGCTACAGGGACGTTAATAATGTCGGTAATATTAACTTTATTTAATACAACATTTACGGTACAAGATTTAATCATACAGCCCATGTAGTATGATAATGAATTACAGCAAACATGTGCAATATATCCATTATTACAGCTCCGTGGGATGGCAGTAAGACGATATGGATCCGTTCTTATTGTGCATCCATGGGTAAAGATAAACGCAACTCACATTGGTTTCTCATACAGCATCTCTGTAAACTACGTGTATTCACTGAATTTCACTCTCTGCCTTTAACGGCTCGTTGTAGCTCCAATAGCTCTAGCCCCACCCTCCCTGGGAGCACAGTGTGCTCTGATTGGTCGGGACACGTAACATGAACGTGCCGGGCGGCGCGGACCCGTGGGCTAGATGCGCGTTCATAATGCAGAGGGAAATAACTCTCAGAATAACGTTATTAGCACATTTTTACAACTTGAGGAACGAATGTTTTTAATAAGGGCTATACAAGTGTTCATACTGGGTAGTTTATTTAGTTTAAAAAAAATTATCCAACGAGTTACAGACCACTCTTTCCCCATGTAAGTCAATGGGAAAAAGTGTTTCCGGGCCTGGCAACCAAACGGAAGTGTAGTACCGCCGTTTGGCCAGCACGAATATTTTCATCTGAGTCCGGCGCACTTCCTGGGGGCTTGGGGTGTAGTGCTGACGGAGAGCACCGGAACTTAAAAAATGTCAGTACCCATAAGGAGCCGTACACATACAGCAGTTTTTGCGTGGCTGTGTCTTTAGTTGAAAGCCCAGTGGCGATCTGTTCATCTGTCATACTGATCATACAGACAATAACTTTGTTGTTATTAGCATCTGGTTAGCTAGCTATGCTAACGAATATAAGAAGCTTTTTCTACAACCAGTGAGGTAAAGGCACATCTTATGGAAGCTCATTTCCGCCACTTACATTTTTTAAATCCCCATGAAAAGTCATAATTATGAGATAAAAAAGTCGAAATTATGAGATAGAAAGTCATAATTTAAGATACTTTATTATTTACAAGAACTGTTACGGGTCCCCGATGAGGACCACAGTAACAGTGATGATACCTGTATGGTGCAGGTGAGAAGTAATGAGGACACGTTGTGTTCAGTTTCCTTCCAGATTACTTCTCCTGAGGTTGTTTTATTACACAAAATCATATAAACATATTAATTATCCTATGCATTTCAGTTTCGACTTACATTCCTCAATAACCATTCACATACCTTCACTCTGTCTGTATGTTACTCTTTTATGTGATAAACACATGTCAAATTGAATTTCACATTCAATAAAATCTGTAAATACATTTGTTTTCAGTATTAACCTGTATATAATACTACTCTTCTTTTTACTTTCACTTAAAAGTAGTATTTCATGACCCCTCTAACCTGTCATGTTGACTATTTACCTTCTGCCATTAATGGCAGGTCACTAAAATGCACTACTGAAACATATTTAAGTGTAAAGCAGCTAATTCAGAACGCCGCTGCTCGAGTCCTCACTGACACTAAGAAAGTGGATCACATCACTCCTGTTCTGAAGTCTTTACACTGGCTTCCTGTGTGTCAAAGAATAGATTTAAAAAATACTGCTGCTGGTTTATAAAGCTTTGAATGGTTTAGGCCCAAAATACATTTCTGACCTCCTGCTAAATGATGAACCATCCAGATCTCTCAGGTCTTCAGGGACTGGTCAGCTTTCTGTCCCCAGAGTCAGAACTAAACATGGAGAAGCAGCGTTCAGTTATTATGCTCCAAATATCTGGAACAAACTCCGAGAAACCTGCAGGTCCGCTGCAACTCTGACTACTTTTAAATCCAGGCTGAAGACTTTTCTTTTTGTCGCTGCTTTTAATTGAACTATTCATATATTAGACTGCACTGTAACTTTTATCCATGTATTTTTTCTTTTAATGTTTATTTTATTATCTTTTCTTTTTAATGACTGATTTTAAATGCCATTTTCTTAATGTCTTTCATTTTTTGTAAAGCACTTTGAATTGCCTTGTGTTGAAAAGTGCTATATAAATAAACTTGCCTTGCCTTGTAACAAACAACCTTACTGTTTTACCAACAGTAACTAACTTATAACCCTGACAAAGTACTAAATTACTTGTTTTTTTATTACTTATACTTTATTACTTATTTCCACGTTTAAAGTAGTCCTCAATGTACTCACAATCCATTTCCGTGTCAAGATAAATAGGAGAACTCGAGCCAAAGAGCTGCTAGTTTGTCTGTTGTGACAAAGTATCTCATAATGACTTTTTATCTCATAATTATGACTTTTTATCTCATTATTATGACTTTTCATTCGGATTTAATTTTTTTCAAGTGGCGGAAATGAGCTTCCATAACATCTTTATATGATCATTATAGTTATTATAAAAAAATAAAATACTATATGACAGTAAAAAAAAGATGTTAATAAACAAGAATACAGTTTGAAAGGGGAGTGATTTGTAAAATATTCATAAAGAAAATCTGCTTGCAGTCCTGTTTCATATGGGTGTTGAGAGATGTATCCATAGATCTCCTAATGTTGCTCTCAAAGTGCACCAGATTGATGCTTTTAACTTCAACATTTAAAAAAAAAAAAATGTTGAAGTTACACATGCATGCATACGCGAGTTATGTTAAGATATCTGGATTAAGAGGTTGCTTTTTCTTTGCACAGCATGAAAGAAAGGCCAAATGAATGGGCTGTGATTTTAGTTTTTTTAAGCAGAGGTCGAGTTCAATATTTTGTACGGCCCTCGGAGGATGTTGTAAAAATGGAAATGGCCCTTGAGAGGAAAAAGGTTCCAAGGGTCTAAGGGATAGAGTAGTTTTACAAAATAATCTAAACTCAAGTTCCACTTAATAGTTTTTGTTCAGGGCTTTCAGTCTTTTGAAAGCACAGGAAACGTAGTAGGCGACCTTGAGTTCAGTAAATGTAATGTCACTTATCCTTGTTAGCACTGCACTGACTTAAACGTACTGTTTTCTTGTCCCAGTGAAGAGTCGTAAACCATCTTTGGGAGACCTGATCCTTCGCCACACCAACAGCCCGACCCGGGCTCGGCACGCCGCCCAGCTGGCCCTCGCTCACGTACGGGACGGCAGCCAATCACTGCACAGCGCTCTGTTCAGAGGAGGTGGAGGCGGAGGGGCGTCTGGCCTGGAGAAGCAAGCTGAGGCTCTGCGAGTGAAGAACGCCGTCTACTGTGCCGTCATCTTCTGTGAGTTCCTCAAAGAGCTGGCTGCCCTGGCTCAAGAGCACGCAGTCACTCTGCCTTTCCCCCAGGGCCAAGAGACGGAGGAATAGAAGGTGAAACCTTTCAGATTTAGCTCTTACCCTCTTTTTCTTCTGGAGTAGGCTGTAAAAGAGTTAGATATGACTCCCCTTTCCAGAGGACGGACTGGAGCACTGAGACTTTTCTGTCACTGAAGTGGGTCGTCTGCAATGACTAAAGGCAGGATAAAAGAACTGCGTTTTTGTACCAAAATGGTTATAGGATACCTATATGACTGGAAGAATTTCCCTCATCTGTAAACTTATGATATTGTGCATATCATGTATTATATTTTACATTCTATAAATAGAAAAAATCTCAGTAATTGCTTGAGATTTGAAGCTTGTACATACACATACCATGTCATGGTATAATGTGACGCAGTAAAGCCACAGATAAAAGAAATAGAAGAACATATTGGAGCTAGTCTCTTTATGTTTTAGGTTGAAAGGGTGCTTTCAGGCGGCACAGAGGAGAAGAAAGTTTTGTCCTCAACAAAATCATAAAAAACCAACACCAAAAAAAAGTTTGACAGGAAAACATTGAAAGTGTAGATCCATCAATCCATTACAAAGTGATGGAATCAGCTTTGGCCATCTCTGTACGACACAGCTTGGCTCATGTCCTCTGTCAAGGACCGGCATATAGAGAAAGCTCACAGAGAAACGGTAAATCTTCCTAACAGCATCTCAATGTCCATTATCTGCACTGCTGCAAAGACTGGTCATCAATGAACGAGATGAAAACTGGAGCACACAGGTGAGGGAGAGTGCTGCTTTCTCTCCCATGAAGCAGTGCGGCCAACACAAATGTACTGGAAATCTTTGGGTAGTGAAAACCATTTTTTAATAATATGTTTTAAACGTTTGTCTTTTGCATTTGCACCATTTTATAGACATATCAACAATGTTTGGGGGTGTGTGTGTGTGTGTGTGTGTGTGTGTGTGTGTGTGTGTGTGTGTGTGTGTGTGTGTGTGTGTGTGTGTGTGTGTGTGTGTGTGTGTGTGTGTGTGTGTGTGTGTGTGTGTGTGGTGTGTGTGGGTGTGGGTGGGGTGTGGGTGTGTGTGTGTGGGTGTGTGTGGGTTTATTTGACATTTTTTGAATGACTCCTTTCCAAAAGGTGACGCCAACCCTTCAGGCCATCAATAAGCCATTCACCTGTTGCCATAAAGGAGGCTGTATGAATGAAAGGCAGCGCTGCTTTAAAATTCATACCTGTAGTGCGTCATTTCGTCTTTTTAAAAGACCTGCCAGAGAAAAAGCAAGAATGGAAAATACTTTTCTAGGGAGCACTATATATAATTGACTTTGAACTGACATTTGTCCCTCATGAGGCATTCACTGACATTTCTTAGCACATTACATTTCATGAAGCTTATACCAAGTTTTCCGTTCTTAATTTCAAAATATATTTCTCTTTTGGATGACACAGGCCAAAATGAAACCTAACATGCTGCTATTTTTTTAACACTAACATCCATTTCCTTCTTCCCATAGCTACCGTCTTTTCATTTTATTGTTAGGTACCAAGTATAAATGTGCATGTGAGGATGTGCCAGTGTTGTGATCGGCATTTAATTTATTTGATTAAGAAGTTGAATGAAGTTGCAGTCAAACAGTGTTGGAAGCATTTGATGAAATGTTCCCTTTTTAATTCTCTCAACATTCAGCGATCTTTGGAAGTTTTTTCTTTTTATGAGATTCTAATGCTTTATTTTACAGGTCTGTTGTTTCATTAATACCATTTTCTGTAACAACTCAACAACCTATGGGGAAATGATAAGGAAATGAAGAACCTGTAAAAGAAAGCATTACTTGTGCGACTGCTTAATTTGATCCCTTTTGTGATTTAAATTAGTTTAATGCACATACTCGCCATTCTCTCGACTTTCAGCCGTATAGAAGCTTCTGGAAGTGTCTGCCATCCTGCAGAATCTTTGAAATTGAGCACCACATTATTTTTTCCCCTGAACAAGTTGAGGCCCTGTCAGCTTTTCAAAGCCATACCCATGTTTGTAAATGGAGTCCTTTATGATGCTGTAACTCACTTTTCTATGGAATTTCTAGACACATTTCGTAACACCCTCCAGTTTTAATACCATTAGTTAAGAGTTTCTGCATGCAAGTTAAGGCAAGATTCATAAATAAATAAAGTGAAAAATAAGTTTTCTTTGGTTTGTGCGATAGTGCTGAGCTGAAATGTGCTTCCCTAGGTTTTAGTGGTAAGTGCTTCATCCCAGATCAGCGTTTCACACTGAATGTTTACATTTTGTTAATTAAATTGATAGAGAAATAACATCTGTACTTTATCCACTGCCATTCATCATTCCATCTATTACCCAGTCGGGTTAATGTTTCCCTTGCACAGATTAAACAATAAATAGGCCAGAGGGTCTAAAGTTCCCTCACCGGGTTCCTCTACGTTTACACTCAAGATTGTGTTTTTGACTAAACTATTTTTACAAAATCTTCTGTTAAATGTGTGTCAAATGTTCTCAAAACTTGAACTTACTTGGTCAGTTGGTCAGTGTCACATTGTTACTAATGTGTTTCAGTGAGTTTTCTGTTTTCATGGACACCAAAGACGATCTCTCTGACAACATTGAAAGTCCCACTGTCTCTGTGAAGAGACAACTCAATACAATTAAAGTAACAGTTAAATACAAGGGAAATATTATTAGACAGCAACATTGATAACATTGTATTTATCAAGTGTGGTGGAGCGAAAAAGATAGAATTGATGGCCAAACCTGTGAAAATAAGACCAAAGCTAACTATAGTTGTCCCTGAAAAGAGATATCTACCAGCTGAAGCTCTTTGGACAGGGCCAGTGTGTTTATGATACTTTGACGTCATTAAGAAATAGGAAGCTGCGAACTATGATGCAAAACTGAAATAGTTGGCATTAGTCCCATTTGACTGATTTGATTTCAATCATGTACTCATGTCTACACTCCTTGCAGTCATTGTTCACTGTCATTTCAATATTTACTTGTCTATCAATTAAGATCACAAAGACATGAAGTGTGCTTTTTGGCCAGCCAGGAATATTTCCCCAGGCTGACAGAAGACAGACTTAAAACAGGCAGTTTGGTGAACAGGATGGAGGCTGTGTGGTTAATGTGATGGATTACCTCACTTCATGGAAGTTGTTTTTTACACTCCACATGAACGGCAGCAAATAGCTTCCTCTGCTGGAAGGGAAGTGAGACCTCCAGCTGTGTTGGCACCAGTAGGGGACTGCGGGCACAAATGCAGGTAGTGATGACAATTCTGGAAAGGGATTTCGTTTTTTGAATATGCAGTAATTACGACAGCTGGATGCTGAAGCAAACGCAGAAATGTCTTTAAACGCAGTTCCTTTAATGGCCACCACAAACTGTCACCAAATACATTTTACTGTAACGAGGTGACGAGAAAACCAAATTGATTAACTCTTTAAAAAGTAGATAAATTGTGCTAAGTTTGTGATGTGCTGTGGTGGTAGCCGCTCTACTCAGACGGTTTGGTCGATGTCATTTTTCCTGACTCAATTTAGCAACGAAGATGGAGGTGAGAGGTAAACCTAAAGCTGAGCTGCAGAAAATGTTGTCATGTCACAGATTGTGTTATTTGTTTCCTGCTGTCTTTGTTCCAGACAGATGTTCCAGAACAATACAATGTACGTGTCAGATCTAAAAATAGAATCAGATACTTCACATTCAGTTGTTTAGTTAAATTCAGTGCATGTTTTTTATTTTAGGGGTGAAATCATCATGTTCACAGCAAACCAAAATTGTCAATGAATTTAATTTGAATCTGAACTGTGCACTGTTGTTCCTTTGCGCTAACAAGGTTTCCACTTTACAGCACATTTCAGTTTCCAATGCACACAGTTATTCTATTGCTGTCAGTGTTTTTGACTGTATGACTAAAGACATTGAAAATGTATTGGGTATATCCAAAGGGACTCGCCTGCTGCTTCGGATTTGTGTTCACGGCTGAATTAGCAACACATCATGTATACATGTTTTCAAATTGATTTGTGTTAATGTGTTGACTTGCTAATCACAAGATGTACAGCATCTTCTCAAATGTATTTTTCTTTTAAAAGCTTAAACTTTTCACGCCTGTTAGATTTCTCCCCTGTGATCTATGCAAACATGCTCTAGTGCCCCCCCCCCCCCCCCCCCCCCCCCCCTGTGAGGCTGAACGATGATGTGGACTGATCAAAATGTGTAAATACTGTAAAAAGAGGAATGGTCAAAATGCAGAGGTATGTGAAATATCCAACATGACAGAATGGAAATCATGCTAAAACTAATGTACTGATGAATGTTGTCAGAAATATTTTTCTATATTTTGAAATCATTAGAAAAAACAACAAAAATACAAAGTGGGGAAAAGCTGTCATACGAAACACTACAAAGGGAATGTTTTTATTAATTTATAAATTCTTTGCCTAGCAATATTGCGTTTGTCCTGGTGTCGTTTCTTTATCGTCTTCTAACTGTATGTCCATGTAACATCAAATCTCCAGTATGTTTAAACAGTGGTTCCTGACTTTCTTTTGGCTTGTGCAATAAGTAACGTCTGCTTCTCAACATAGATTAAGCATGTCGGAAGTGTGGACAGAAGTTCAACCAATTCAAGAGGAATTTTCTGTTTAATTGTAACAATTTCTTAGAGCACCTAACCAGTATAGATCTATTAGAAATATATATAATTTGGAGTTATAGAAGTATCTGATTATGTTGTCAACCACTGTAATAAAAGACTTGATAAAGACTTAACTTACACAAAAAAAGTTAACATGCTCACATACTCATTAAGTTTGATCCAGGGAGCTGGAGCGTATTCCAGCCTGTATTGAGCAGGTTTACTTGCACACTAGTTTACAAATCCTTGATGTATTAACCCTGAGCCGTATCACCTGGTTTTGAGCAACAGGTTAACTCTGATAGAATCAAAGAAACTCATCTTTGAAACTGTGGGAGAAACTTCTGAAGCAATTGGAAACAGGACTCAGAGAGGCATGGGGAGAGCTGGAGCTTTGATGGCAAACACTGGTGGTTTATTTGGAGTTACGGCCGGAGAATTGACAAGACATGTGGTGTGTCACGAGTCGACAGCGGTTGCCAAACCAATTCGTAAGAACTCTTCTGCAGCTCGAGGTTTTAACTAGTTCGGAGTGTAATAATCAACATTCTTTATCAGTGAGACAAAACAATTATGGACCCTGAATCTAACTAGAGCTCTCGTCCATAGGAAAGAATGTGCACCAGGGAACCTACGTCCCTGAACAGTAAACTACCTCATGGCCGCTTGTGCTCTGTCATAGACTGGCAACAACAATGCGCCCAAGCTGCTCCTAGAGATATGGCAGCAATACCCAAGGCCCTAGAACTATGCCATGGGAAAAGAGACGGTAAAGAGAGAACACGATGAACTGGGTCGAAGGTTGAATACCTAAGCAAATTATTCCCTAACAAAAACCATAACCAGGTTTCAAATCTGTGGCTGCCATGTGTGTAGGACGAATCTTCACAATGCTCAAAAGAGCTATACATACATATTTTAATAAGCAATGTAATGGTATCTTCATGTGGTAATGTTTTTATAATTCTTTTCAATCTTGTTCTCATCTTCCATAACTGATGAAGAAATGGATAAGGAAACAGCAGTGATAAACGCAGCAGTGTCCATGCAACCAACACTAGAGTGTGTTCAGGGAACTGGAGTCAGTGCAGAAAGGACAGCTGCTGGATTTCCTGTGAAACACAAACCTGCACTGTTCATCACACAATTGTAAACCTGCATGATGCTCAGAGCTTCAATTATCACACGAGCAATCCATGACAAATATATTTGATAGTGATTTACTATTTTAGGGCATTTTTAAGAAAAGCTAAATATTCCATATTCCAGCTTCTCCAATACGAGTGTTAGCCACTTTTTGTGTTTTGTGTATGGGTTTTATACAACCATGAATTTCGGCATATTTCATTATTGTCTGGTGACCAAACGATTAATCAAGATAACTATTATTAAGGTCAAAAAAGGAAATTAATCTGCAACAATTCTGATACAAGTTAGTTAGAATACATTTTTCAAACAAAAGTTAATCGGTTTCATTTTATGAAATGTTTATATTATAAATATATATAAAAATCTTTGGGTTTTTGAGATAAAAGGAGACATCACCATACAGTCTATGAACTTATGATCTTCGACCATTTTTACTATTCTCTGACATTTTATGGACGATACATTAAATGGGGAAATAATCCGTAAACAAACTAATAAGGTCAATAATTGTTAGTTTCAGCCCAATTTACATTTGACAACCAAACCTAGAAATAATTGTCCCATGCACATGTCCAAGTGAACTCCTTATAAACCAGAACAAGAGCACTTCATGTCTACACAAAGCTCATAGGTGTATTTCATAACGTAACGAAGTGTCGCTTCCTCAGGTGGTTTGTGTCATCAATACATTTGCTCCCCACTCTTGACTCTTAATCACACAAAGTGGTATTTCTCTCAAACACAGCAGCAGGATTCCAAGTAAACTATGAAGTCTACAGATTGAAGACCAAGGCAGATATCCATTGTGGATGCACCTTCTGAGTTTGCATGCAGAGGAAACTGGAGTCAGCTTGGCGGTCTCCTAGCAACAGCTAACAAGAGGGGAAACAGCGCAGTGGAAGGGACGGAGGTTGATGGTTAAAGTGAGCGAGAATGAAGATGTGCTGAAGAGCAGAGCATGGGGTCGTAGCAGCGCTGCTACCTGACGACAGGTAAGACACTGCAATGGAATGGTGTTCTTTTTTTCTACCAAATCATCATTCAATTGTTTTCTTATAAAGTATTATTTGATTGAGAACTCTTAAAGTTCATTTGTATTTCAAAAAACAAAAGCATGACGTGTTAGGCTAAAATGTTACAATATATTTTGAGTACTTCGAAAGATTAGTCTTGTGTTTTGAGAAACATGTGTTATGGTTACACTGGTTTGCTCATTGGTTATTTTCCAAATGTGACCCAGTTATCCCAGTCACAAGATGAGAAACTGGACCCTCCTCATCTATTATGTAGTTTGGTAATTTGAGTGGAAACCTGCTCTGTGACACAAATAGAGGGGACTGGCATAGTGCCTCAGACACACACACGTATCAAAACTACAAGCAGCTCATATGAAGAATAGGAATTGCTTAATTAGTAATGGGTTGAGTAACTTATACCGCACAGAAGACTTACTGTGGGCTACTTGAAATATTCATACCCCTGATACAAATGCCACACTAATTCATTCATATCAAATACGCTCCCTCAACTATCAATGGCCTTAACAGCACTATGTTAACCCTAGTGATGGGTATCCATGCTAACAACGCTTTAACCAGAAAACTCTTTTTTTTAAGTCTATTTCCCCCAATACTAAACTAAATCAACAAATAGACAACACGCTAAACCGGACATAAATCACAAAAAAATATACTGAATCGCGACTTTACCCACACTGTGACTTAAAGCAATCCACGGCCGTACATTCAAGCCATCGTATCCAAACTCAGCGTTGACACTATCTATATAGTGATGTCACTGAAAAGGGAACATTTAAACATAAATTAGCTTCACTAGAAGTGCTTTTATGTCAATCCAAGTGCAAAGCATGAAGCCAACTGTAATTGCACAATTATATTAAAGTAAAATGAATACTTCGCCACCAAAATAACCATTTATGCATCAATAACTCGTACCATTGACATTTCCTATCAAATGTCACTAAATCCAGATGTTTATGACCGGACCCCATTTTAGGCTTTATATGTGGAAAAACTTCTTGGCGATATTTTTATAAATATCATTTTACCTTTTATATTCTGACTGTCAGTTGTAACCTTTCCTATACCTAAAACAATAGTCTGGGGCCATAAACTTCCCAATGCAGCCCCAGTCAAAATGACACTTTGTGTTTATTATATGATGGCTCCCTAGGATTCAAGACTCATGGCAATACATCACTCGGAGGACAGACATCTTTCACCGCCATTTCTCTGCATCACTTTGTTCGTTTCATGAATAAAATATCAAAGCGGGGTCTGTTTTCAGAACTGGGGAGTTGAGAAGTATTGTTGTGTTGACACTTGGGCTGTCTCTTTACCGCCCACTCTCGCCCTAACTCTGGATGCTTCTGGCAGTCTGCCTCCATTTGAAATGCTAATAGATATCTCGGTGTAAAACTGTCTTCTTTCTCTGTGCTAGTTCTCTCTGCCCACAGACTCCTCTCTCTTATGGCCTTCCTTCATAGATGTATCATCTTTCCACAAGCAAGGGCTCACTTGGCAGCATGGAAATGGCTCTAATAAAAGATCTATCTGGTGCATATACTTTAGAAAGTGGTGGCTCATTCACCTCTGCCAGACTAAATTACAGTGTGTCAGATTCAGTAAACTACATTATTTAATTTAGTGTCTGTCATATACTGTATTCATTCCTATAAATCAAATCAAATCAAGTTTTATTTATATAGCACATTTATAAACGATTTTTGTCGAGCCAAAGTGCTGTACATATAATAAAAATAGCCTACAGTAGAGACACTTTACAGCAAATACAACAGCACAGATTGTTCAGAATATCAGTATGAGAAAAACGACACCCTCTATCCTTAGACCCTCACATCGTACAAGGAAAAACTTCCAGAGAAAACCCACAGTTTAAGGGGAAAAAATGGGAGAAACCTCAGGGAGAGCAACAGAGGAGGCATCCCTCTCCCAGGACGGACAGACGTGCAATAGATGCCGTGTGTAAATCGAAGAGATAATACATTTTACAGCATATAGACCGAATGTTAGGAAATGCATGTGTCTGTAATAAGAAGATGAATCCACGAGGATGTCAGCTACAATCCTGTGGAAGCCATCAGGGAAGCAGCATGACGAGACCCAAGGCAGGACCGCAGAGACAGGTTCAGCCACGACCCGAAACGTCCACGACTTAATCCAGAACTCAGGATAGAGGATCCAAGACACAGGACTACAGCAAGAGGATCAGCCTCGACTCCGGATCCCGGCGTAGATATAGATACAAAACAAGAAAAAAGATTTGGCTGGGTTAATCGGAACAAGAGAATACACAGACACAGACAGAGAGGGAAAAGGTCATTGGATAAAAGTTATTCTTGATAACCCTCTAGAAAGATCTCATGAACTTCCCCACTCAATCTATCAAGACCCGAGCAGTTCTATTAGATATAGGATAAGAAACAGAGATAGGGAGCACAACAACAAGTTATATAGTAAATCAAGTCCCATAATAATTTTAATTTCTGGCGATATGTTTCATATGAGGATGTCACTCACTACCACAATGGTTAGCACATGTTCCCCACTGAAAATACTGCATACTTGACAACAACAATAGTTAAACTAATAGCATCAAAAAGTATCTCTGAAAGAGTTGG